ACCCAGGCAGATAGGACCTGAAAGTGGAGATTGAACCAGGCACAATGGCTAAGGGTCAACATGATCCCTCGGAAACAAAGACAAGAAGTAGCACCCAGGGCCACATAGGATCTGTGCTCTGAGTGAGAGCCACACCTCAAAGTCTCTTTGGGCAAGGGGTGAGGGGTGGCTGTTTTGGACAAGTCAGCCCTTTCAGCCTTTAAAAGGGAGATGAGCTGAGGTCACTGAGAGCTGATAGAGCCAATGGGCATTCCTCAAAAGTATTAATATTTTCTCCCTCGATTGAAGCTCCTTTCTTTTCTGGGACTCTGCCCCCTAGTTTCTTTCACTCTTTGAAGGCTCCTCTTGACCCTAAAATGTGGTTGGTGTCTGAATTCCACCACTCAGCCAACTTTTCTGTTCACTCCAATCACATTCCTTGGTTCACCTGCCCCCACCCAACTCTCTCCTAAGCACCAAACCCCACATTTGCAATGATTTATTACCCACGAAGTACTGCTCACTGAAAATGGCAGCACGGAGGCTAAGGTTCTGGATCCCACACGGCTGACTGCATGGGTTGAGTCCTGGACACAATAGCTTGAAAATCATGCTGGGCAGGTGTGTGTGTGTGTGCCAAAAAAAATCCAAAGAGTTCACTAGAGGAGGAGGGATTAGAACATGGTAATCCCCCATGTGGGATGATTTCTCACTTTCCCTCTCTCTTCTCTCTGATGAGCACATACATCCTATGGCATGAGGCATGTGTGTGCTCTCTCACAGTCTTTTCATCATGGAAAAAATAAACAAAAATGAACACACACCAAAAAAACAAGGAGCTACTCAATATCTCTAGGATCTTGTCAGTTAAACATCAAAAAGAGACAAAGGGGTGGGGGGGGCAGTTACATACCTAGCAATACAAGGAATTCTGAAGATTTTCACTTAAAATGAGAGAGAAGAGAACCAATTATCTTGCTGTGGCAGGCCGAGAGATTACCGCTTAGAGATACTGGGCTCCTTTCCCATTTTCTTATCAACCAGAAATAGAAAAGAAGAATCTCAGCTTCAGGTGGTGAAAAGCCTTAAAAAAAGAGACTGCTGCTTAAGGCAGCTACCGTCTCATGGATAAAAAAGAGGAACTTGGGACCAGCAGTTAGAGTAATGGCTATGTCGCTGGACTCCCATGTAGTTGACCGCGGTTCGAATCCTGGACCTGGTTGGTGGCTTAAAACATGCCAGGCGCCATGTGCGTGCATGCCCAAGATCCCGAGGAGAATGGAGAAGGGATTGCGGTGTGGCCATCCCCCCTGGGGGGTGACTTCTCGCTTTCTGTCTCTCTGTCTCTCCCTGTCTGTCTGTCTGGCGAGCCCATGCACCCTATAGCAAAAACCTCTCCAAAAAATTAAAAAGACATGTTCAATATATACTAAATTACATACCAAGTATCTTCCACAATATAATTCAGTTGGAAATTCAAATTTTATATACTAAAATTTTAAATTAAATAGATAGATATAGCCAGCTAGCAGGGTGGTGGTTACAGTGGCTGGAACCCATACAGCCACCAGCACGGTTTGAATTCGAAGCCCAGCAATGAAAAACAGTCTGGAGTGTATATGCATGCCCCAAATCCTGACAGGATGCAACAATGGAGAAGGAATTACCACATGACCTTGCGGGGGGGGGGGGGGGTTCTTCCCTCCCCTTCTATTTTTTTTAACAGACACACTTTCTGGAAAATCTTCAAAAACAATAATAAATTAAGACAAAAGTGTTTTGGGCAGCCAGGACTGTGGTAGTTAAGATGGCTGGATCCTACATGGCCCACAAAGCAGTTAAGAGTCCCAGACCAGGTGGTTTTTGAAACACATTGGGCTCACGTGCATGCCCAAAATTCCAAGAGGGGAAAACAGAGAGGACTGTGGCACCCATTCCCCTCAGGGGCAATTTCTCACTTTCTGTATTTAGCAAGCCCTATAGCAAAACTAAACATATTTAAAAGTATCTTTTTTTTTTTTTTTTTTTTTAAATTTGCTGTAGGGCACATGGGCTCACCAGAGACAGAAACAGAGACAAAGATAGAGAGGGAAAGCAAGAAAACAAGCTGCCAGGTCCAAGAATCGAACCACAGTTGGCCATGTGGGAGTCCAGTGACTTACCCACCCCACCTGCTGGCCCAATTAAGTTTTTTTTTTTTTTTTCCATAATGAGTATGTGCTCATCAGAGAGAGACAGAGAAAAACAGTGAGAGAGAAAATGAGAAACCACCCCCCAAGGGGAGGGAGGCATCCCACACTCTCTCCATTCTTCCTGTAATCCCAGAAATCCCCATGGCGTATGATTTTTCACTTTTCTCCTCCTCTCTCTCTGGTGAGTACACACACCCTCTAGCAAAAAAAAAAAAAAAAAACCTTAAAAAAAAAAAAAAAACCACCTTGCTTCTATATTAAAATCAATAGGCATACTTTTAAGTGTACTAAAAAACTTCAGTGCAGAGGCTTTGGTCATCCTTTGTAACACCTCTTCAAGTCCCCTTGACCACTTACAATGCTACTAGCTGCACCAGGGCTTCTGGTGCAAGATACTGCTCCTCCTAGCCTTATGCTATACACCATTAAAGCCAGCAAATATGACTGGTTACCTACTGGGCCTTCTTGGAAAGAGCCTCTCAAAGATCCTGAGCCCATAACCCTTCATCTCAGCTACCCAACATGCTTGTCACAGCAACAGTACTCCACAAGCTTAGCACAGCTATGAAGACCACTCTGAGACGTGACAGATTCAAATCTGGGCTCCCTGATCTATTCTACCTGCAGGAGGGGGTGACTTTCCTCAGTCTAGAGGGAGCCAAACCTCCTCCAGACCCCTGGACTACATGCAAAGGTTCTTGGGATTCACTGAATGAACACTAATGGGAGTTTGTAAACTATCACCATGTGTGATGAAGCTCCCCAGCATACCACTGCTTCCTGTCCCTCAGCCAGAAGGTCCCTGAGAAAGGACAAGACTTGATTAAAAATAATAATAATAATACTGGGACAGGGCCAGTAGATAGTGTAGTGGTTACGCAGCTGGACTCCCACACAGTCAACCACGGTTTAAGTTTCATACCTGGCGGCTTAAAACTCATGCCAGGCACGTGTGCCCAAAATCCAGAGAATGGAGAAGGGATTGCAGCGTAATCATCCCTCACTTTCTGTCTTTATGCCTCTCTTGCTTTCTGTCTTTCCAGCAAACACACACCCATTGCAAAAATCTCTCTTAAAAATAAATAAATAAATACTGGGCCAAAATACAAGCATTTGTCTTAGAACCAGACACCCTGGCCAGTCAAAGACCTCAACCTGGGACCAAAAGTCAGTCTGCCCAAGATCCCGAGACAGTGGAGGAGAAGGGATTGTGGCATGGCCATCCCCCCGGGGGGGTGATTTCTCGCTTTCTGTCTCTCTGTCTCTCTGTCTGTCTGGTGAGCGCACACACCCTATAGCAAAAATCTCTCCAAAAAAAGAAAAAAAAAAAAAGACCTCAACCTCACACTTGTTATAAATGATTGGGCCATTACCTAACAAATATTCCCATCAACATAAAAAAATTTCAGAATCTCTTGCCACTCTGATACCCAAAATATAAATCAAAATCACACAGCTCTCTATACACACTAAGGCCCTGCTAGAGACTTCACCCCTTACAACAAACTTCTACCAAGTGACACCCACGGGCTGCCTAAAACATGAATGGACATAGGACACTTGCTTTTTTTTTTAATTTGAACTGTCTGCTCACCCCATGCTTCTGGTAAACTTCTTGCTTGCTCTTCAAATGCCCCTTCCATACTTAAAGGCAACTTTACACACAGATTATTAAAACTAATGGAGATTAGTGCTTTCCCCAAGGAGGCTCCAGCCCTACTCAGTCAACCCCTTAGTTCCCTAAGGGAAGGATCACCTTTTCCTACTCCCCATTCCCCGTTTTCCACCACAATCTCGCACCTTGTGTTTCCAAACATAATATTTATATCAAGGGCTCTCACTGGAAATACTGGGTCTCCAGAAAAGTCATGATTTTTGCACAGAAAAATGACATGACTTTTCCGACAACCCAATACAACTGCCTTGCACCTGAAGTATGCTGCTGAGGCACCACAGTGAAACCTTAGTCACGCATCGCTTAACAATAAGGATACCCTCAGAGATCAATCAGGTGGTGATTCTGCCCTTGTGTGCACAGCAGTGCACTTACACAAACCTAGACAGGATGGCCCAGTGAACACCTGGGCTAGTCTAGTCTAGTCTACTACATTCTTATGGGACCACCGTCTTGTATGCAGCCCATCCTGAACCAAAACATCCTCGCACGGCACATGACGATGTGATGTGGCCTCGGCACCCACTTTGAGTAAGCGGGACTCTCTCACAGAAATGGGGCTAAGCCACTTGACCCACTTCTAGTTCTACACCTCCTCACAATCCCTCAATGTGGCCAATCCAGGTACCTGTCTTTCGTGACTCCCTGCTGGTGACCGACCACTTTGCCCTGCAACAGCTATATACGGCCTGACTATCCCCAGTGACCCACATAGCCTGCAGGGACTTTGCAGATTATGCCACAGTTGACCACCTAGAAGCCATGCCCACTTGCTTTTCAAGCCCAACCAGAACTCCACAGGAAAACTGTTTGGCAAGGCCCTTGCCCACACAAGTGTTGGCCCACTGGTCCCCTCTCTCTCTACTGGCCTGTGCTCCCTGACCTGTGTGGATGGCCTCCAGGCATGCAGTGTGTCCCAGGGCCTACAGCAAGAACACCTGTACCTCCATCTTGGGTCTCTCCTAATCACTGGAGGGATGCTCCCCATCATAATCCTAAATTAAGACCCTGCAAGCCAATGGCTCCTACTCTGGATCAGTGAACAAAGGACAGCTACACAGACATTAGGGGAATGCCATGGATACCCTGAAAAGCCCAGGAGGAACCTGGGCTTCTGACTGGGGGCATGGCTATGGCAAAGGCAGAAGCAGCAGTTGACATCTGAGGATATAATTTTATTGGAATCAAGGAAGGGGAGTGTAGAAGAGGGCTAGGAGTCAGGCTCTGTGGCAGGTGGTGGCTTCTCATTATCCGGAGGACAATCAATAAAGTCAGCCAGCATGGCAGCTGTGTCATCTTGCTCCTTTTAGAGACAAAGAGAGAAAATTCAAAATGGTCACACAGACACACACACACACACACACACACCCCAGAGCCAACACGTTGGGCAAACCTCTTTCCTAATACCAGCAGCTGCGACCATCTCCCATCAGCCCTGCCTTTCCATCCAAGGTGCCCTCCCTGCCTGGTTCTCTCACCTTTTCCTCAAGAGTGGCAGCTTCTGCCTCTGTTCCCGTCTCTTCTTCTGCAGCCGTTTCTGGTGGGAGTGGTGACTTTTCGCCCCCACCCTCAGTCCCTTCTTCCAACAGGGTTGGGGGTGCAGAAGGCTCTTCTTCAACAAGCTCCTGAGGTGGTGGCCCTGCAGCAGGGCTTTCCCCTTCCCTCTCCACCTCCTCCTGAGAGGGAAGCACCTCGGGGGCCAGGGTGGGAGCCGTCTCAGCCCCAGGCTCCTCCTCTGCCCCTGGCTCTTCCACTTCCAATAGCAACCCGGGTTCTGGTTCAGGTTCTGGCTCAGGAGGTACCTTGGGGGACTCCGGTGGGGGTAGAGCTGGAGGCAGGGCTGGGGGTGGAGGTCCACCTTCTTCTACCTCCCCTCCAGCTGAGCCAAACTCCAACTCTTCTACCTCTTCTAACTCTTCCTCTTCCTCCTCATCCTCTTCCTCCTCTTCTTCCTCTAACTCACCTTCTTCTTCCTCAAATTCCTCCTCAAACTCTTCTTCATCTTCTTCCTCTTCTTCAAAATATTCTTCTTCCTCCTCTTCCTCTTCCTCAAAATCTTCCTCTTCCTCCTCCTCTTCCTCTTCTTCTTCCTCCTCCTCCTCTTCCTCTTCCTCCTCCTCATCGCTGCTGTTGATATTAATAACTGTCAAATCCTCTTCCAGGGCTGGGCCTCCACCCCCACCAGGAGTCCCTTCAGGGACCAACTGGGGTGGTGGGAGTGTCACAGGACCAGAAACAGGTGGGGGCGGAGGCGGTGGGAGAGGCCCTGGGGCTGCAGGAAGCTCTTCAGGCTCCTCCTTGGCTGGCACAGGAGGGGAGGCTGTTGGAGGCCCTGTGGGGGGTACAGGGGGTGGTGTGGTGCCTGAGGGAGGTGGGGGAGGCAGGGGAGGGAGCCCCTCAGGCACGATCACCACGCTATCATCAGAGTCGCTTTCCAAGGAGATCTCCACATCAGATGCCTCCTCTTTATCGTAATGGACAAAGGCTGGTCTGGGCACCCTCCCCCCGAAAGTTTCATCTGGGGGTATAGAAGGTGGGGGAGTCCCACTGGGAGCAAGGACAGGATCCTCGTTTGATCCTGCCCTATGGTTCTCAGGGCCAGGAAGGAGGCGGGACGGGACAGACACCAGGCCTGGGACAGAGAGGCCTAGGTGGTTGGCTGTAGCTGGAGGTCCAGGGCGTGCCGAGGTCATGGGACCTGCAGAGGGCATAGGGCCACCAGAAGGCACAGGGCCAGTGGAGGGCATGGGGCCGGCAGAGGACACGGGGCCTGCAGAGGGCATGGGGCCTGTGGAAGACAAGGGGCCTACTGAGGGCACAGGGCCAGGGGGATGGAAGGGTGGGGCTCTGAATGGAGATGGGGCCTCAGGAGGGGGAACTGGGGCAGGTGTGGGGCAGGTGGAGCCCATGGGCTGCAGGGGAGGAACCCGGGGATGCGTTAGAGCAGCACAGGTCACCAGTGCTTCTGAGCAGAAGGAGGAGACCTGAGGAAGGAAGAGAAGGCCAACGTGAGCAAACACAGGATCTTGTGAGGCCAGGGACAGAGAGCCCACCAGCCGGAGAAACAAGGGAGTCCAAGAGCAGGGACTAGTGCCTGTGGGCAGTTACCTCCAGGCTGTCTTCTTGCTGGCCACGGGAGAACGCTCTCAGGGCACAGGAGAGAGGCGGCGGGCAGCGTGGAGATGGCGCCAGCAGCAGCGCCAGCAGTAAACGGTAGAGTTCACGGCGGGAGGGGGGGGGGGGGGGAGGGGGGGGGGCTCCGAGGAGGAGGAGGAGGAAGAGGAGGAGAGGACACCCTCAGGACCAAGGGGACGACCAGATCATGCAGTCTCTGAAACAGACACAGAGCTCACCTAGAAACATGGCCAAGACAACTCAACCCTCCTCCAGGGCCTACTCCCAGGTCTGAATGAACCCACCTCTGGAGCACAGCCCCCCAGGTACAGAGTAGCAGGCCGCCCCGTCCACTAACCCTGTGAGTATCCTCCTTGATGAGAGGCCCACACATAAGGATGGTCTGGCGGAGGCCTGAGAAAGGAGAAGGAGGTGTCAGGTGGCTATGAGCAGGACTAAGAGTGAAGCGCAGCCCAAGGCCATCATCAGCCCTATCGCTGCCTACCACACGCAAGTCATTTAATTTCTCTAAGTCTTCTTTATCGACTATAAAATGGGGTCATAAATGTACCCCTATTGGAGCCAGCAGGTGGCACAGTGGTTAAGATGCTGTTGACTCTCATAGAGCCAACCATGATTCGAGTCCTGGATCTGGCAGCTTGCTTTCTCAGTTCTCTCTCTCTCTCTGGTGGGCACACATGCCCTACAGCAAATATAAAAAGTAACAAATAAAATTACATATATATATATATGTGTGTGTGTGTGTGTGTGTGTATATATATATATATATATATTAAAAATGTACCCCTTCTACATGGGCTGACAACATTTAAATGAGACAATGTAGGTAAAACATTATAAATGTGCATTTATAGGGACCAGATGATGGTGTAATGGCTACGTTGCTGGACTCCCACGTAGTTGACTATGGCTTGGGTCCCAGACCTGCTGGCTTCAAATTCATGTTAGGTGCATGAGAATGTATGCCCAAAAACCCGCGAGGAGAATGAAGAGACTAAGAAATGGCCATCCCCCCGAGGGGTGATTTCTCGCTTTCTGTCTCTGTCTCTTCACCAAGCACATGCGCCCAATAGCAAAAATCTCCCTAAAAATAAATAAATAAATAAATGTGTATTTATATTGGGTTGTCGGGAAAGTCATAACTTTTTTTTTTCTGTTTTTCTATGCAAAAATGCATCATGACTTTTCTGACAACCCAATATATTTATATTTAGGAAAATTGGGTCATTCCTTCATATGGGCGGGATTCCAACAGTGAAACAAGGAGACTTTAGGAAACTCACACATTAACCACACAGTATTCAGCTACAACTTCTGTTGTTATTTTTTAAATATGTTCAACTACTCTAGCATTATAACTTGCAAAATAAATTTTTCCAGCATGAATACACTGTTTATTAGTTCAGTTAAAGATTTTATCATATGCATTATCATCAACACGTAATTTTCTATGTTTGTGTCCCTCAAATGTTTTGCTTCTTTCCTTTTCTCCTTGATTCCCTTCCTCTCACCTTTAGATGAAGGGATGCAATGGCTGCATGAAGATCCACTGAGGAGCCTGCTCTAGAGGGCACATAAGCTCCACAGTCAGGGCTTTACCCCAAATGCTAAAACTGGAGCTAGCAGTATTTGTTGAATAAATGAGATAACCAAGACCTTGGCAGGCAGCTTAAACGACCAGGATCCCCAGTCTAGCAACAGGACTAAAGACCACCTGCAGTCCTGGTAGCTGCGTGGCTGTTCTGCTCCTTCTGGCCTCTCTGCAAGGCTCCTGGCTGGCTCTGCATTTTACATGCACCCTCCACATTGCCAGCAGGTCTTAGACCATAACTCCAAGCCAAACCAGGGCTCAAGGGCACAGGGCCTCGCCTCACCCACCTCTCAGTGCAGCTGTGCACACGTCGCTGTTGGCATTGCTATCCCCTTTCCGGTGGCTGGGCGGGGCGATAGTTTCACCCATATCCAGCTTTATCTTCTTGGGGGCACTTGGCTTTCCAGTTTGCAAATTCGAGTCAGGGCTCCCCCGGGGGCTGCGCAGCTGGTGGAGGAGGAAAACATAAATCTCATACACGGGTGAACAGGAAGCAGGGCAAAGCTGGGAGGTGATATTGGTAAGGAGGCACATATGGACAGAGGGTGCAGGAAGAGTCGTGGATGGGGCTGAGGCCTCTCTCACCTTAAGAGTATCAGCTGGTGGGGAGATGTCGCTGAGCAGGTGAGTGAGCAGGGCTTCGCCAGAGGCTCCTCCCTGAAGCACTCCTGCCGACGCCCCACAAACCTGCACCCACAGCTCTAACACAGCATATACCTTGGTCCGAAGGGTGCTATGGTATGAGCAAAGAGGACAGGTTAGACAAGGGGTGTTGATCCCCCAGCCCACCTGAATCACACTACCCACCCTCTCCTCTTTAATCCCTGCTGGATGGTCACCTGTAGGGCCTCTCCTGGCCTGGGGAGAGGGAGTCTCTGCCAATGCTCCAGGCAGTAAGGACCTGGGGAAGCAGGCGGCTGATCAGGACCCCGAAGCGTAGGAGCCGGCCTCCACACCTGGGGACAGAGATGGAGCAGTGACCCTTGTTTCCTTGTTTATCCCAATCCTTTCAACACCCTCCATCCCACTTACGTGAGGATGAGCGCGGAGAGCAGATCCAAGGCTTCAAGGTGGATGGAGGGCAGGAGCAGCAACCGCAGGGGACCATCTCCAAGTAAGCTCTGGAGAAAACATTGGGGAGTATGAGGAGTGGGGGAAGACGAGGGTCAGAGACACCAAGATGGGGATGGAGTGGGCCTGCATGACCACACACAAGTGCATGTACAGAACCCAGCCCAATCCCAGCTCGCCCAACACACCAAACCTCACCCTCCAGAACAGACCTGGGTGGAGGTAAGGAGGAAGATGGCTGAACCTCTCTCAGCGATGACTCAGCTGACACTCGAACTCACCCCCCCACAGAAGCACCGGCCACAAGGGGCCCCTGAAGTGGGAGCAAATCCACCCTGACCATTGCATGTATGTCAGGGATCTCAAGGAGTGATGGTATTTGGACGAAAGAAAAGAGCCCCTGGGCCAGCGTCGGGGATAACATTGTTTGGGGAGCTTCAGGCCCCACAGTGTTTTCCTAGGGGCCCGAGGTCCCAAGCAACGGCTGAGAACAAATCCCACTTACAATATTCTTGCTACTGACACTGAGGGTCCGACAGATGACATCCAGGATTTCCTGCACAGGGACGGACACAGGAGCCCCAAACTCAGAGCTAAAGAGAATCAGAGCAGGGAGCCCTCAGGGCAGGCTCCCAGCATGACTCTGCCCACTTCTGCTCCTTCCTTGTGATGAAGATGCCATGCCCATCTCAACCTTCCTGCCCCCAGCCCCTGCTCCCCTCAACATCTACACATACCTGAGCATGAGCCCCAGGCAGCGAGCTAGTCCTGAAAACCTCTGCCGGAGTCGAAGAAGAACATGGGTATCACCGTCTTCCGAGGGGGAAAGCAGCGTTTCCAATCCAGGGCCCTCATACTGCACAGGAGCTGTGAAGAAACACAACCACCAGGTACACTCTGTCTTTCTTCCACCTCCTTTTTTTTCATTCATGATGGAAGGCCCACCTGTATTCTAATCCTTTCTGCCAAGAAACCAACTGTTCCTCTTCTCTGGGCCACCTCCTGGTCCCTCCTGCCAAGCTCCTGAACCACTCTCTCACTGCCTACCAACCATGGTCCTTACCCGTTTCTGCTCCCTCGTACAGGACTCCCAGCAGGCTGTGCAGTGAGGCCAGCAGGCTGTGCAGCTCCTGCTCCCAGCTCTCAGTGTGCTTCAGGCCCTGCGAAAAGCCAGCCCCTAGAGAGGGCAGCCTGGAATAACACTCACAGGCCAGCTGCAGAAGAAAGGGCAGACTCTAATCAGATGAGAATCTAGACCGGCCATCGAACCTCCAACCCACTAATGCCCAGAGAGCTGGAGATCAGGAGAGCTCTGATAGAAATAGGAGAAGGCATGCAGAGGGGAACAAGACAGCAGGA